AATCGCGTTTTGGTTTTATATGTGAATAAAATTTTCGAATATCCAAAGCCAGAATGGCGACAGCGCATTTTAGTTTAGATGATGCTGGGAGATAGATAGGTGAAATAAACCTACCATCAAGAGAACTCACGCTTGTCTATCCTCCTCTATGATAAAAAAACAACTTTTGAATCTCTGTATGTCTCTATCGATTTTATTAGCGCCCTTTCCTTTTTCACGACGCTTCAGTCCTCTTGCTTCTTATAAGAAACGGAACGTTTTACCTCCCGGCGTAGTCGGGTGAAAAATTGCGAACCGTTAGAGATGCGCCGTCCCTGAAATGTCATATCTCGTCAAACCGGTGCTGTTTACTAAAATACTCGCACACTCAATTCATACCGATTCATTATGAATTAACCAGTAATTTAATGTGGGCCTTATCTCGGGGCGGTTTTGCTTTTAGCGATACACAACACTGTACTTAAATAATACCATAATATCTTGATATTACAACGACCATACAATTTAAAAAAAATATTTCAGGGCTTGCAATTTTGTCTTGCTTGTTTTGCTTGTGTCATACTATTTTTTTCGACTAAAACATTGTCCAGATATATGTTTTTCAGTCTCATTATTTTTTATAATAACGGATTTTAACGTTCATTGGCCATAATATACATTTTTGTTCACAAGTTATTTTTACGGCCCGATGTTTCGAACGCTTTGCAGCAACCGTCACAGAGAGATAATAAAGATACTGTCTATAGTTTACGCGAGTAGTCCACATAAAAATGAAACACTTTAACGGATTAAAACGCGATATATTAGTTTAATTTATTTGAATATGATTTATAACTTCGGCCCGACGTTTTGGATGCTTGGAAAATTAAGGCACCACGTGTCTCCCCGTGACTACGGCTGCTGCAAAGCATGCAAACCGTTAAAGTGTTTATTAAATTAAATAGTTTTATACGGTATAATTAAATATAAAACTCTGAATAACGGTATTAACACCTCTAATGCTGACAGCAAGAAAAATCAACAGAGATAGTGTTTTTAGTACTGAAACAAAGCGATTGTCGAATACTTGTTCTTTTTGACAATTATATATGTCGTAGTTTTATGAATCTTACTAGCTTATTTATTGTAACAGAAATAAAGAAATAAAATTAAAAATCGACTTTAGATTGAAAAAAATTACACGGGCAGCACTAAACCGGCATTCACAGCGTTCCGTGCTGTCGAGCAATTGAGCTACCATGTCCTACGTCGTCATCGATTTTATTAAACCTATTGATACATGTACCTCTCGCGCATTTATTTTTAATTATTTATTTCATAAACAGTCTGAGTGAATGGCATCTTTTACCTCATTTATTGGAATAGAAATAAAGAAACAATCCACCCCAATTCCAGTTCAATTGTTAAATACAATTATAAACAGCGCGTAGGGGATCGTTGTCGTACTTATTGGAAGTTTAATTGTACAGGTGCCAAGAATGATCTAGATTACGGGATATTGTAATTGTGAACGAGACCTGTATTCCCGTGTCTGTTCACTTATGACTCGTTAAGTTGTCATTTGTAATTGTGTGTAATTTTAAAACGGTTAATACCATATAATGTAATGGATTTGCAAAATGATCGAATATTTAGTAGTTCATAGCCCGTTGGCCCAAAGCAAGCTATGTGTGGTTAAAAACCAATAATGGGTCGTGATTTGATTCTCGCCTGAATCGATCGAAGATTTAATCACTAGATTAGCCGTATAGTGTAATCGTATTTCGGTTTTAGCCTGTAAGTTTTTTAATCTCCAAAGCCATTATAAGTTGACAACTCATCTTGCTTCGATGTTATGGGGCTAGGGTGTTTCACCTGCGATTGAGCCTCATGCTTTTCCCCCCAAGGCATAAAAACTAGGCTTATAAGACCTTTTTTTATTATAGCCCATTTACATCCTCCTGAATTAAATACTGTCTATAGTTTACGCGAGTAGTACACATTTTAATGAAACACTGTAACGGTTTAAAAACGCGATATTATATATATCGCGTATGCGTATGATAAACTTATTTGAAAATGATTTTTAACTTTGGCCCGTCGTTTCGGATGCTTTGCAGGAGTCAGGTTAAAGTTTTTTATTTAAATCCTCTCCCTTTAATAAAATTTTTATTATGTCTCTATACTATTTAAATTTTATAGAAGCCTTTTACTGCGTACACATATAAAATGTACATAGTTTTAGTAAAAACATAACGATTTAAAACTGCTAAAAAGTATAGACCCTCTTTACTGGTTTCATACCGTTCAAGCTTCTAGTGTATCTAAATTTAATAAAGCTCATTTCATGTGCGTAGGTGTATCTATCATCGAAATCAATTTGCATTAAGTGTTACCAGTTTCGTACTATTGTTTGAGTTGTCGACTGCTATCGTGGTTGTTAATGTTTCTTGGAAGGCCTATCGTTAACTGCTTCATCGCACAAACCTCCAAGATAATGAAATTATTATCCCGATAAGTGTTCGCGACAATGTCAATAAAATGACGATTTTTATTAGCCAATAAGTAAGAGTCTGCAATCATTAATTTATGCACTTAATCTTGTCGCGTCGGGTTAATATTTTTAATATTTTATTGTTTTTACCGCCGTCGCATATTTATTTCATAAGTGCTCTGATAATTGTATGTGAATGTCAATTGGCGTTTTAGCCCTATGATAAAGATGTTAATGTAATAAAGAATTATGCGTTCGCGCAGGCTCTATATACAGTTATATCTGTAATTAAAAGTTAACTTATTTCCATAAATGTTTATAATGGGCGATAAAAATTGTTATTTACCACTGCGACTTTTTTAAACTACGTATGCCAACGTATTATATTATTATCTTATGTTCTTATAACGAAATTGGGATCGATAGAGATATTAAGTGGTGAAGTATTTGTTTAAAAAAAAACAAAATTATTAAACTTGCGTTAACAATAGTATTTATATCAGAAGTTTACAAATACAAATTTAATTCACCAAAATTGTGTTCATTTCATTAATATAGGGTGTGCTAGCCCCCACACTAGGATTCCCTGTGTCGTGGGCGGCTAGACTCTTCCGGTGCATTTCGAGAAAACAATGAAAAACTTAGTATCTACTTATAAAGTTATTATATGCTAAGTATTTAAATAATACAGAAATTAAACTTAAAAATGTGGAAAACATAAAATAAAATCATTTGATATAATTTAATTTTAGAAGAAACACTCTAAATTTTTTAATTGGGTAGAAAAAGAAATAAGTGGTAATAATTTTATTAATATATAGGAGAAAGGATCTTTAAAAGAAAAAACTTGGAAAAAAGAGGAGTGTAAATTTGACTTTTTTGTTTAAAGAGTTGATTATGTATTTTTGGCGACGACAAGTTGAAAATGTACAGTTGCCCGACTGTAGGAGATTACATTATTTGTAAATTTTGTTGTCCGAACCTATTCAAAGTGAAATCAAATCCCCCCTTATGTAGCATGAAGCGAATACATTTCTGTGTCCTATAGAAGGCACAGGGCACAAAAATGTGTAACTATAAAGTAATGTTAATTTTTAAACCCAGCACATTTACAGTATTTCCTTTTTGTAGACGCTTAGTTTTCTCTTAATAATTATCGGATTAGTTTGCGCGAGAGTGGAGGGAGACGACATCTGCCGCGCCCCGCCATCCGCTGACCAGTCGCAAACTCCGAAATGCTAAAAATGGCATAAATAATTTATACGCGGCTTGCACGAGGACGTTTTTGTCGCGTCGCCGACCTGACCACTGATGCATTTATAATATAAGGGTGCTTTTTGCAGCGTACCCCGGCCGCGTTGGAATGCGGCCGCTAAAATTGATCTCGCTCCAAACGTGAGGTGGAAGGCAATGCTGCAGCTACGCTTGTAGCGTCCACCTTTTCCTCCTACCCATGTACTTCAAAATAATTAATTAATGAATACTAAATCCTGTAAACAGCTAATAGAGTCAGTTATAATAATTCTTAGACAGGTTTTTTAGGTATTTTTTAACTGTTTTAGCAGCACACGCAACGCAATTTCTCAAAGAAAAATAACATTTCCCGTTTGTTACACATATCCCACTATTTCTTCGGTCGCGGCGTGATGTTTTATAGCCTAAAGCCTTTCTCGACAAATGCTCTTATCAACACAAAGATATTTTTTTTAATTCGAACCATTAGTTCCGGAGATTAGCGCGTTTAAACAAACAAACTGTTCAACTTTTTATACCTAACAAAATATTGTTTTACATGGTAACCGTATGTTACTTTCGCTGGTGCGTTTTATCAAATTGGCGATACCCAAAGCAAAAATCGATACACTGTATATTTATGGTACTTTCGTTTATCGGAACTCAAACTCATCTGTCGTAATGGCTACATCGAAACGTGAGTTTCTGTTAGTTATGGCTACATGTACAATTCTCGCGATCTGCTAATGACGCCATTTTGGTTATGCAGTTTTGACGTAATTTCATAGACTTATACGCGTTTTTCTTGTCTATAGTTCGCACTTACTACGGCTACGGTAATGCATCCGAAATCGGGCCGTAGTTAAAAGTTACAAAGAAATTGTAGTTGTAGTTTTATTGAGTATATATATTTGACTATTTATTTATTTTATTTACCAATTATATAATTATGACGTAAATAAAATACTTAATTAACGTACGTACCTTTTTACACAGGTATTCAACGCTGTTACGTTGCATATCTGTGTAGCAAAAATAATAAAAAGCAATAAAAAAAACAATATTAAACTAACTTTATAGCAAAAGTAATATCGCACGTAAACAGTCACAGTTGCAGCGATCGGCTAATATTCTCGCTCCGTGCATTTTTTGTCGTAAGCGATGTGAAAATTTAAATTTTGTAAGTTAATTGTGATAAATCATTCTTTCTTTTACCACGCGTCCTTTATAGCCTATTTACAACATTTGATAGCTTCAAAACGTTATTTTACAAATGATCGTGTTTTGTTTTCAGTAAGCAAGCAATATTCGATGGAAAGAGGCCGATACGAGGAGGGGTCCCGTTTGTGTTCCGTAAGTATTATTATTTACATATATAAGGTATTGCACCCATCATGAAGTGAACTATATGCTTGTCTGACCTTGTTTAAAAATACCTTATTTAATTTCAATGGTCAATGCGTGAAACACGTGATATCCAGGATTTTATTCCCGGCAGAACAATACGCGGTTACGGTTGGGTCACAGATGTTCGATCACATCGAATCGATCGAATTGTCTGTAAATAAAATCTAAGCGTTTTCGCTCCGTGCATTTGGATATTTTAGTTGTTAAACTTACTATCCGTCTTTTTTCTAAGTTTTAAAAGTTCTAGTAACTTTTTTCCGTACATTTGTCTATGGTAGAGGTGGATAGACAAGCATCGGTTTCACTTAACCTATAGTATCTAAACTAGATGTGCTGTCGATCTATGTTGGCTTTGGACCCGAAATCCACAGACTGACACTGAAAGGCGATTGAACTTCAAGCCTTTTTTGTGTGATGGAGGTTCGTCGCCCGGACGGAATTCGATATATCTACCCATTCATTCTTAAAGATATCTCTGTATATATTTAAATAAAACACTTTAACGGTTTAAAACGCGATATATTAGTTAAACTGATTTGAAAATTATTTTTAACTTTGGCCCGTGACCACGGCTGCTGCAAAGCATCCGAAACGTCGGGCCGAAGTTAAAAATCATTTTCAAATCAGTTTAACTAATATATCGCGTTTTAAACCGTTAAAGTGTTTTATTTAAATGTGTACTACTCGCGTAAACTATAGACAGTATATCTCTGTATAGTCTTAGAATTAAATTATTTTTGTACAATGATAGTAAAGGTAGCTTAGTTGGAAGGAACATTACACCAACCAGGTTCAATTTACTTAAAACCGCGTGAAATATCCGCCGATGTGTTACGAGCGTGACGAATCACCTTAATGTGTTGATGGCGTTGCTTAAAACGCTCAAAAACTAACCGTAGTGTTGCTCTGTAGTTTATTGTTACCTAGAGGGAACTTAAATCAGTGGCTTTTTGGAAGTGTATAGTGCATTAATTTCCACCAAATACTTTACTTAAAACAGTTCTTGCGACTTAATTTTAGTAGATAGACATATCATGACCTTTTTTAATGGACATGATAATCTATAGTGGTATCATTGTTTCACACGTATGTTTTGGTTTTTTGAACCATTTTCGCAGCGCACAAAAAGGAAGAACTAAAAGATAAATAATGTTCTCCCTTCTTCCACATTTTCCACTGTTACTCCGCTTCTATTTGATGTAGCGTTATGTTTTATAGCCTAAAGCCTTCCTAGATAAATGGTCTATAGAACAGAGATTAGCATCTCAAATCAAACTTTTCAGCTTCAGAAAGAACTGAAGAAGTTCTCTAGCATTAGCTTGTGAAAATCTCTTGTCTTGGTAATTTAGTCAAAAATACAAATAATAACAATGAGAGTATTGCAATTTATATTAATGAGTAAGTGATTACCTCATCTCTAATTGAAAAATGTTTAATTTCAGCCCAATTCGGCGATTGGGCGTTCGGACCGATGCATGGGTTCGCGCGTATCGCTCGCTGGCACGTGGAGAAGATGCCCGAACGATTGCCCAGCGGCGATGTGGAGGCCATCTTCAGCCTCATGGACGACGACTTCACGAGATCCATGTGGCACTTTCAGTAAGTAATAAACAATATCCACCGCTGGGAGTGGGACTATTCAAGCATTCTAAACAAATATACATATTGGACAATTCATAGGACGTATTCTAATTTATATAGAAGTAAAGACCTTTTATTTTTATAAAACTTTGTATTTATTTTGGGCGAGTACTATGAACAAGAGCGACTCCAGGGTGGGCTCATGACCTTAACCTCCTCCCCGCCCCCGAACTGGTTCCAGGCCCAGGTGGATCACGGATTGAACACATTGATTTAATTTACAAATTATTATGAGTTAAATTCTTAAAGTGTACAATTAGGAATGAATATCTTAAAGTACAATACGTCTTCCTACATCAATAAAATACCTACTTTTTACTGGTATCTATTGTTATTAAAATTTCTAAAAGTTCTTGAATTGACAAGACTATGTGACTCCCTCCAGGCGCTAAAGCTGGATTCGCCCTTGACTCGTCAATCATTAATTGAAACACTCAACCGTTTAAAATGCGCAATATATCATAGCTAAGATATTAGCAGAGACTAATAATAATAATTAGTACATAAAATGTATAATGTGTGTTTCCACATAATCACTTGATGGTGGGTGAAGTACCCCCGCCATACCTATATAAACAAGGTTCGGTGTCGGCCTATTTTGGCTTTAGGTATTCGGTAATCCACAGACTGGAACCGAAACGTGATTACGCTTCCTGGCTTTTTCGATATTCCTAGCACCCGTTAAATATCCAGATTTCCAGACGAAGTTCAACATGTTTCAGAAAAATTATAAATTGGCTAAAAAAATGTTGGACCCGGTAGGGATCGTACCATTACACTAAAGTGCCCGTCAAAACTCAGGTTCAGACTGACATACCGGCTGATACTCCGCGAAAAGGAGCTACACTTCAACATAGGAGTGTACAACCCGAGCAAGGAGCTCACGTTCAGCTGTCAGATGCTGCTGCACACTTACTTCAAGGTGCCGGACGTACGGCGCTGTCAGATCACCGGGCTGCACGGGTGCATGTTCATTGACAAAGTAAGTTCCATTTGAGGAAAGTTAAAAGAAAGAAAGACTACATAAATGAAAAATCGATTATAAATTTGAAAACATTTACGACACAGGCAGTACGGTGGATGCCGGTTTAAGTCGTGCCCGTGTAATTTATGTAGTGACAACATGTGAAAAATAATTCAAGTTTTCAAACGTAAGCAAAATACTGTTTTGTTCTTTCTTCAAGCTAGAAACCAAGCAACCAATATATTTTTATTTATTATTGCGCTACGCTAGAAGGACAAAGAATGTCAGCCTTCGAATATTCAAATGATGAAAAGGTTTCCCAAAACCAAACCTTGAAAAGCTATTATTTGATTTGAATCTTGATAGACTCAGTAGCGGCACTGGATTACGAGTGGGAGTCGGTGAAATTAGGTTTTGCGAGGCACCTTCTTTTCTCCCATTTCCGGTATGTAAGAAAGCTTAGACTAACCCCCATTTTCCATAGCGGCTGGTAATTTCAAGTAAAATATATCTTGTCATAATAATAAATCATTGTGTGCGTAGAGCCGCGACGGAGTGATGTACCAAGACACGCGCGAAGTGGTGACGATAAACGAGTGCACATCACGCATCTACCAGAACACGATGCAGGAGCACATCATTACCAACGTGGTCAGCGGACGCAAGATGCGGATACAGAAGTACAACTTCCCGGATACTGGTGAGAACCAATATACGATAGATAATGAATACAGTAGATTTCCGAATATTTAAAGCTAAAATAGGTCGACAGCGCACCTTGCGTAGGTGTTAAATGGCTATTTGACCCCCATCAAGTCAGCCCCGTGCTTGTCTGATCTCCTCTATAATTAAAACGATACAAGGCGAAAATTCTGGATCAGAGTACACGTAACGAAGTTTCGATGCCTTTCTCTGTATATGCCTATTTTCTTAAACTTAAAGAAATAGAGAATTAACAGAGACTTTATAATCATTTTCGATATAGACATTGGGTTCTGTATATAATATATTTATTGAGGTAAAACGCTATTAACGGTTTAAACAAGATTCTCTTGGTTTACTTATTTTTCATTTACTGTAACAACGGCCCGACGTTTTGGTAGCGTTGCAGCAGTCGTGGTCACGGGGAAGCCACAAATGTTAACTATATTTCGGTATTTTTATTACAATAACAATGTCCTCTTTGTCTAAGTAAGTTTAAATTTTAAGATGAGAAATATTTTAATATGATCATCTATCGTTGAATTAAAATTGTCAGTTAAACTTCATTCATTCAACCCGTTTTGCAGTAATCTGGAACCCGTGGGCGGAGTTGGCTAAGGAAATCCCTGATCTTGGGGACGATGAGTTCCCTAATATGGTGTGCGTGGAAGCGGGTCGTATTGCGACGCCCATCGTCCTTCTACCGGGGACCGCGTTCGAAGCTAGCCAGATATTGCAGGTAATATTTCCAGACTTTTCGTCCAAACTTTCTTTGCTATGTAGCACGCAAAAATATGTATTGATTTAGACCAATCACATGTACATATATCATGTCAATTATAAAAAAAAGATAAGTAACACATAACTCTGTTAGAGCAACAGTGTCCTTATTTTTTATTGTCGAAAATTAATTTTTATAATAAAATATTTAAAAATAATGTTTTCTAACACAATTCTAGTTACTATGTACATAAAGATGATATTTATCACACGATGGAACCATATGAATTAAAAATGGATTATAAAAAAAAATACGACACCGGACTTGAACCGTGCTGTTGCTCTATCCAATATTTTTCTACTAACTATAATAATACTCTACTACGATAATTCTTTACTACTTTACTTTCTTTGAATCTACTAACTTTGATTCGCTTTCAGGTGATGTAAAGAGCGCGTAACTTCGCGCAGAGCCGTCCAGTTGCTGTTGGAGCGAAGTCAATTTTCGTACGATATGACAATATTACCGACATTAGACAAACACACAGACATCTATATTGATTAATAAATTGTTCTGTTATACAAATAGTAATGGACAAGTTGTTTATATACATTTTTAATACATTCAGGGAAAAAGCTAACTGCCCATATTGCATTTAACATATCCATCGTCCTCAATTCTAGCGTAATGACAATTTTGTATTTTAACTACTTATTAGTAGGATTTTTAATATTTTAATTGTATTAATATCGCCTTAGGCACTTGGATAAGAATGTAGATTAATCCGTTTTTAGGAACTCGTAATCTATGAATCTCTTATTGTGATGAAACATTCCTTCAGATGTGTCAACGCTGAAACTAGAACTAAATTGTTTGTAAATATGATTTTTACAAAATAACAGTTGCTCTCGCGCACAAATTAGACTCGTGTTAATCTTGCCAATTTTACAATTTATCGATTTTTCTAACGTTCATTGTCTTCCTGTTGTTATTAAATATCAATTGTTTTTTAATTTGATTGCTTAATTTTTAAATTTCATATAATGTAATATTTTAACTTAGCTTTGTGTAGTCAGATTAATTTTCTTTAAAACAGTTTATGTAAAACAATAACAGTGGGTTATATAATATATTACATTTTGCTTTTATATTTTCGTAGACAATTAAATTTAACTTCAGGATACAATTTTGTTTCTACAAAATAATATTTTTTCTTTGAATAATACTCACGATGAATTGTAATAGATTCACTTTAGCTTGCCTAGTCTAAATGGCTCTATGATTTAATATCTTGTTCCAATCATTCCTATTTACTTGTTAAGTTCGACTCTCCGTTCTAGACTAAGTTGTAGACCTAACTCGGATGATTTTTTCATAAAATGTACATAAGTACTCGCAGCCCCGTGAATGTACAAATATGTTTTTATATATTTTTTGTTTCGTACGTTTTGGAGGCTTTTAAAGTATACGACGATAATTGTAAGAATACGTACTTAGTTATAAAGTTCCTCGTTTTTGAAACTAAATAAAATATTTGCTTTGTCGTTATTTCATACAATTCATATGTGTTATGTGACGAATGCAGTCAACAGTTATTTTTATACTTTTCAAACACATTTCATTTTACATATTTTTGTCACCAAAATTGTTTCAACATCACGCCATTCAAAATGGACGCTCAACGACTTTCCTTGTGGGAAAGAGACAACGCTCTTTTGTCTTATACTTTCGGCGAATATGTGCTTCAAAAGTGTGTCTCAAAATGTATCAATAATGTTTTATTGCATGTTACATATCGACCCATAACAATTGTATGCCGCAAATTATAATCGTAAAATGCTCTCTTTGACAAGTATAAATTTTAAGACGCGGCGTTGGTATAAAAGCACAGGCCCGATTGTTTTAAGAATAGATTTAATTTTCATCATTCGAGGTTTGTATAAAATGGTTAATATTGGTGATCTGAATAATCGACTATTAGCAACGAAGTGTACTTCCATAGGTGCAATAAAGTGAATAAGACATTTTGTGTGTTTTATTTTCAATCATAGCCTATATTACAAAGAATTTATCCTACCTTATTGATGTCTTAATTTTTTACAATGGAGATAATTATTTGGCTATTTAAGCTTATAGGAGAATAAAGATAGGATACAATAAGGCCTTGTTAATTCAGAGTGGCAAAAATAAGATCCCTTGTAGATGATTGCAAAGTCAAGATTATAGTATGACATTTAATGGATTTAAAGTAAAATCACTGTATATGTTAACTACTGTATATGATACAGCGTACGCATCTGAAAGCCACAGAGATAAAAAATTTCCCCCGTTTTGTTCACATTTCTCGCCGTATCTTCACTCAAAATTTTTAGCCTTCCTTGATAAATGCTCTAACTAGTATAGATTGTTGTGTAGATATGTTAACAGATCATATACCATATCACGTCATCAATCTTTCGGTTATTTAAGTATGTGTTTTGTAAAAAGTAATAAAACAATTTACGACCTAAAAACTATATTCATATCCTCTATAATTATAATATTAAACATTAGGTTGCGTGGGTTTAATGTCCCATACCCCAACTTCAGTAAGTAAATCCTTTTTGGACTCAAAATATTCTCTATACCACTGTATGTGGTCTCGTTTTTCCTGTACTGTGTAGAAAGCGTTCTTAGACAGACCCACACATACTAACTCCATGAAATGTTTGATGGGCCCACGTGTAGGACACCAGTCTTCCAGATGCGCGTCGAGGAATATATGTTCTGAGAAATGAACGTTTTCTTCTTCCTCCATGCCTGAAATATTTCGTTATATATAATGTTTCTAAATATAGAAAAATTAATTATTTTAAATAATGCAGTTTCTGCATTTTAAATTCTTATAGTATTTTTTTCAATTTAAATTATATGTACTAATTATGTGATATATGTTTACCTTGTTCATTATTTATTGGAAACTTCCAAACTTTCCCCTGCTCCGTCCAAAGTATCATTTTCTCAAAGTAGTTTGCAGGTGGTTGAGAGGTTGCCAATGTCAGCTCGCGCTGGTTAAGTTGTTCCCATACATCCAATTTCGTCCCATAATTGGTTTGTGTACCCGGCTTAAAAATACCTAATGGTTCACCACCAAAAATGTTGACACTAACGGGTTGTGATGTACTGTAAAATACATAAAAGATCTAAATTATAATTTTTCTTTAAACATACATATATCATTATTACACAATATTTCTTCTCCTCAAATAAGTGACTTTATGTCAGTTTTATGTATAAATACCACAAACAGGAATAAAATCATCAATTCATTTAGTTGTTAAAGTTATTGTTCATGAAAGGTATACCTAATTTATCTTTGTTTCAAGAATACTTATTCAAAGATTGAAGATGGAATTAATATTCTTAACTTATACCTCTGTGCTGGCCTCCTCTCCCTATCTGTCTGTGGTCTTCGCTGGGGCTGGGGTTGCTTTTCATCTCTGGGCTGAGCCTGTGCTCTCTGCACCATACGCTTCACCTGTTGACCTCTCGTTTCCGGTCTCTTCATTCTATCATCTTCATTAGATCTATCTACTTTCATACCAACAAGCAGGTCACTGAAAATCAAAAATATTAATTTATTTTGTGATATTGCCATAAAATTCTCAGGATTTACAAAACCATAGTTACCTAAGAGATGTTGATGTCTGGTTAATCTTTCCTAGCACTCGGGACAGCAACTCAGCTTCCGTCTGCTTTACATTACCTCCTATAGCTTGAGCTACATCACCAGCTGCCTTTGTTATCTCCTCCTCTGTACAATATCCATATATTACACAAGAGGAACCACTTTCTTCAGGGTGAATAGCTTATTTTTAAAATTATACCAACAGAAATTATGAAAAATAATAAAAATTTCATTAAAATCTATTCACAATACACATTTTTGTGTCCATTTTAATGGTTGGTTTTATTACAGGCAAGTAGTTGATTAAAATTGCTGCTGATTAAAACAACCTATTGTTTTCCTGGGATTTGAACCCAGTACTTTTCGCAGTGAATGAAAAGACACTAGGCAACATCTTTGATGTCTGAGAGATTCTATCACAAAACTGACCAATTTTCTCCGTCTTTACTTCGTATTCCCCAGGCTCTGGTATCTTTCGTTCTGGAGCAAGTGTAAATTTCTCTTCATACTCCTGTTGTGATATTTTTGGTGCCATCATCATCTTTTTCAAAAGTTCCTGAATTTTCTCCTTACTCGCATCATCATTCTGCTCACTGTTCCTGCGCTTAATTTCGGGCATCTTATTATCATTTTCGGGTGGTTTTTCAGATAATAGTCTAACGAATACTCGAATTTCACGTTGTTTATACCGCAACCTAATGGTATAAAAAGTAAGTTATTTTTAAAAGAATACAGATTCGTATACAATATATAGAAATACTAACTTCGATAACATCATTTTTCTAGAACGGAATATTAGTTTTTATATATTATTTTAACTTATTTGTTTACAAATAACCTAAATTAACTCCTTGAAGAAATCTACATCTGACAATGACATTACCTTGTTGTCTATGACTCTAGTGATGGATGTTCTTTACATTTCCTAAAAACCGATACTCCTTTCTTGTCTATTGTACTAAAGTTTGAAGTAAAATTAAATTATAAAGTATTGGCTAAAATGCTGTTTGCCTTTTGGTACAGATTTTGACAAAACATATTCTTTTTTATTCTATAAGCCATACATCTCATGATTAATTCAGCGACAAAACACTGCTTTTAAACTTATTTTTTATTTCAAATATATATATATGTAGACATAAATAAAACAATTTAAGTTTTATAGGCACATTTATTGGTGGACGGGAATAATAATAATCAGTATCTATAATACATTATATACAAATTCCGAGTCACCTACGGAGTGTAGGTATGTAATGACCAATCATTCCCACATCAGAATTTTTACACAAACATTTTTAATAAACAAAGGTAACAATAATAATAGGTGTAAAACCCATATTAAACATACTAAAATAATATTATTCTAAAGATATCACAATGTGTATATTAAAATTACTTAAGTAATGTTAAGTAGAAATGTATTAGGTAAATGGATCACTATTAAACATCAAATAGCATTGACAGTTTTCATCACTGTGGCAGCTTATGTTTTTCTGTGCTGTTACCATAATTTAAAAACTATGAAGTTTGATATCTGTTTTTCCATTGTAGTGAAAATTACCTCTATTTTCATATGCAATCTATACAAAACTTAAGACATAAAGAAATTATTGAGAATTGCAATACATATTAACACATTCTAACTCTTTAACTTTAGTTTCTGATACAATTCATTCATCATTGTTGAATGCTAATATAGTTTAAAACTTACACCACGACCAAAACACAATAAGACTTGTTAAAATGTGATCGCGTTACGAACAAGCACCATTATAAAATGTAACAAATATCTTAACTATGACTCAGTCCTACTATGTAACTAATGATAACTGTACTCTTAAGTACAAATTAAGTCAAACGGGCAAATGCTGAATTGAGCAATTATTAAAAACCTAAATCTAATCGCCAATGTAAATAAATTTCGAAAAACTCAACACTGAAAATAATTATTCGAATTTATAACACGAAAAGCCAAATCGAGTCAGAGATCACTTTGAGATTATAAAATGTATGCCACTGTCATTATTTTTGTTTTGTGTTTCGTTGATCATAATCTGAATTTAATTACAAAAGAAGCATATTGCGGCACGAAATTTAAACAACAAATTTGTACCAAGATCGACACAGTGTTTCTGGTCTACGTTAATTATACTTTAGGGGCTGGAACTAAAACATAACATAAATTTCCCAAAAATCAAGATGAGTTTTCTACAGTCTTTTTATCTTATGAATATCGTACCTGTGTTTGAAAAAGATCTAATGTTAACATCATATAGTACTATAAGTATGTAGTCATAAAATAAAAAGAAAAGTATAAAAACAGCACACTTACTGACTCAAACACAATCACCGAATTAATGGAAATTTATAGTACTAATGCAATAATTACTAAGTTTGGCATTAGTATAGTCAACATCCCCTTTGAAAAAATCTCAAATCTGTCTGATAAACTCCACACAAGAATTGTGCATTAATTGCCAAACATACAAATTCACCATGTTATGAAAACAAGCTGAAGTTATTGTAATCAGATCGGTTACTAACAACTGTATCGTGATGCATTAAGAACTATTTACATATGGCACGCTTTAGTACATAAGCACCATTCAACTTTTAAACATTGGTAGTGTTTTCACAGTCCAAATAAGTCCACTATAACAATGGAAGACATTATGGCACCTTATTATTGTCCAACACAGAAGGCACTTGGGATTCTTGAATCACTCCAGACCCAACATGATTAACATTCTCCAAATGAGACTATTTTTCACATGGTCATATTAATTAAGTGCGAAAGTTTGTTTAAGTTAGGTTAGAGTAACTTATGTTGGAAAGTAATCAAATTTTCGACTACCTCCCTTACTACCGAAAGTGACTGTTTAATTCGAGTAAAATATTCACATCACATGCTGAGCCAGCTAAATCAAATTCGCCTTGTTCTTTCATTAGTCCGTTCTTAATAGGTGGGCAAATAACAATCCGATAGCGTTCTTAGAAGGGAACACCCACAAATTACCTCCTACGTCTCACTAGGAACTTAACTTCACAAAACCAATGTAAGTGTAGCCTGGTCGGAGCCACAACGTCCGATTCTGTTCTCTTTGGGCGATATTGACTGTATCGCCCTTGGTCAGTCTGGCGACAGTCTGGATAGAACAGGATATCTGCGATTTGTCCAGAGGCCTGGCACTGGAGTCGTCGCCGGTTGCGCAGGATGTTAAAAGGCGCGGGATTCGGGTGGGCTGCCGGGCCCAAATGAAGTAACTGTTTGGCGCGTGGGTTAAGTATACCACCTGGAAAAGAGAGTCCTCTTAGTTATCCTTGATTTGTAACCGTAAATTATATCAAAAAAGTACTGTATACTTTTACTGGCTTATTCATTGTTTTTCTTTGTTTTACGTGTTACGAGACGTCATATATATTTTCATATAAGTTCAGAACTCTGCATATTAAGACCAAAGATGACTATGTCTTTCCTGAATGAAAACCGATCAAACCCAAAGTGATCGGTTTTTCTTAAATTTTCTGTTCAGACAGATATCAGTATATATATATATATAGTTATGTTATCAGTAACATAAAGGGACCTATTGTCACTAAATTTATTTTTTCTACGTTTTATTTATTGATTACACTATACATAAAATACAGATTTGAAATTAGGATAATGTGTTGGTATACGTCGTAGCTAATAATATCGATGCTATCTTTTGCGTATAGATAACTAACTTTATCGACGGCGATGGCAAACGGCCTTATTTGTAAACAAAGTAATCACGATAGTACGTAGTGTAAATCAAAATAAAACAGGTCTTAAATATACCAATACTTAAAAACAATACTTCCAACCGTGAGTTTCTTAACAGGATTTTTTTATTAAAAAGCATGTGCTGTTATTTTAATTTCACACGTAATCACAGAATGTCTGACAGACGAAATTATAAAAAACAAGCGATAGTTTTTATATAACCGTCCATCATCTTGCAGATGCATAACTGATCGGGTGTTCGATTCCCGGACGTGTTGTTGTATATATCAAATCTAAATTAGCATAGTCATTCCATGTTGTGTGGTAAGGCAAATAAACGTAGTTAAGATGGATTAAGCAAGAAATGCTACTATTTTGGCATCGATTTAGCAAAGCTACAATAAATTCGCTTCGACTCGCCGCAGCAGAATTCCTCGCGTTTCTATTTATGCTTACTTGTGCGTAGACTAAATACAGCCCAGTCTCCTTAATAGTGAAATAGTCTTTGTTCAGCTCTATTTTGGCTTCGCTGTTCTTTGAAGATATGTCCATATCGCGAGCCCACGGGCCTATTATTGCTGTAAAGAGAGAAAAGAAAGTTATACAGTTATCTATATAAAAGATCTGTACTATTTAAAGTATAAAAATATATATATTTATTAAATCTAAGCTTTAAAAAAATATTCGTCATCGTAATTAAAATGAAATCTTCACACAAATCTCGTGTCTGTCGCTACTGTATGTCTTTAACTGTGGTTTTACATTAGGCCCCGAGATCATCAGATCAAGGCAATTATGTTTTATATCAACAAGTTTGAATAATTAATTTTACTGCTTCACTATAGCGCTACTCGCACGAGACGTTCGTAGGAATCTGAGAGATATACAATTGATCGAGACAAAGCGAAATTGCGTTTAGGAACAAAAATCCAGTTAAAATAACCACAAAAATGGCTATCTATTTACGGTTAAGTAACGTTTTATCTCACATTACTAACATAAAAAAAAATTACATAACTAAAGACAAGAAATGTCCTTTTAAAACAATGAGCCTTTACTCCGGTTCTGACGTTTTTACTTGTTTTTGTAATCCTACACCGTGTCATCCAATATTACGAGACTTACAATCTAGTAAGCAAGTTTATTTTGTCCTTTACTTGTCTCGGTTTTAATGAAAATCTATTTTGAGCTCATACGAATCCTTAACTGAGACGAACTAAGCCGGTATAGCCGTACGTTTGCATAGGAGAAATATAACTAGGAATTTAAGCAATTGTTGAATAATTCGTTTCTCTATACAAGTTATTCTATACAGACATTATTTTTTATATATGATAATGAACTATACCGAAAAAATTCTAAATAGTTACTGGCCAGTAACAAAAAAATTAAAAAAAAGTAAGTTCATTTGTATCTTTGATTCAAAGTTTAAATGCAAATGATTTATAAATTTTACACTAGAGATGTGTTTTGAATTTATATTTAATAAAGAACGTTTTCGCCCCAAAATTTCACCTTTCAATATATGTAATTCCATTGAAATCATATTTTGCTAACAAACTAAGCTAATGTTAGCTAATTCTAGACCTAAATATGTTATTCTGGCACAGACCTTGAGCCCGCCACACATGTTTGTTGCCAGGAACGCCCTTTTCGGGAAAAAACCTATGCAAATTGTTGCGAGGTCAGCGGTTTGGTTAGTTTTTGTCTGTCCATTCTGAAGTTGTGTAGCAGTCGTTGTATTTATTCTACTGCTATTATTGATTTGATAGCTGAGAAATTTGTTTTGCTTACTGAGACGCTAAGTGAGTAAAAAAGTCCGCAATTCTCAAACAAATTAACTAAAATAAGCAAGTACAATATTTGCTACTTCATACTATTTTTAGAAAGTCGAAATCTTTTTTTATTGAATGTTTTTTGATACAATGCGCGCCAAATTACAACTACATATTTATAACAACGAATGTAGAAATAAGGAAAACATATCATATAGGACGCATATACGTCAAAACACTTTGCACTATTAAATCAATGTTACATTTACTTGTTTCAGCAAAATGCTGTAGACAGATGGAACGTAAAATATAAAACGGTTGTCCTACATCAATTAATTTATTAACGCAACATGGGGGATAACTTTCTTATCCGATTAGAAAAAGGCATAGTTTTCATAATGTACACGTATGAATTTAATTTTGACATTATTTAATAAAATAAAAAATAAACAAAAGCTTGAGTAAGAAGCCAGGGTTCGATTCTTGTAAAAACAAAAATGGCGGTCTTCATTTTTTGTGTCTGCAAATAGTTCAGAAAGTACTGCGTAGCTTCGACGAAGACTTTCGGCGGTTATGTATAGCTTATCAAATGTCACATTGTAGATATATAATATTTATATCGGTAGATGGGGATTCACAGATTTTGACGCCTGACGGGTGAATCCCCGCGATTGGAAGTACTTAGTGTCAAAATAACATAATTTAAATATTTGTCAGCTGTTGTAATGTTCACAATTCAAATAATGTCGAACACTTTGGATTTACTTAAAAAAAATTGGATTTTTAGCGTTTTAAGAAAAATGTTATAGCAATAAGTATCTAAACGCTATATAGGTTGGTAAATCACACATAATTATAAACATTATCTGCAGCGCCCGTGAATATTTTATCTATTATTATTATCGTATACTTGCTATACCGATATAATTGCGTCTTTTTTATAACGACTAGAATTAGCAATAACGTAAACTATGAATAAAATTAAAGAATCTAACTGCTGTGTGGTTATATATAAAATACATTTATATTTGCATGTAGAAATATATATTATCAGTGGTCACGATTGTAGCAACGCATCCAAAACATCGGGCCGTAGTTACGAGAAATTTTAAATAAGTTAACTACTACATGTCGCATTTTTAACCGTTAAAATAGTTTTATTTAGAAATATACGTGTTTAGTGCGTGGAATGTTACTCTGTCTAAATACTGACAAATATTCAGATGGACTAACGGAATAGGGCGGAACTTTTAGGTATGGAACCAAAAAAATGACACAGACAATTTCTAAGCTATAAAGATTACTTACATCAGTAACCTACTTCAATGTTTGTTTATTATGATATCACAGTACTTCAGAAAGTAGGTAAGTACTTGGTATCTTTTTTCAATGGCAGGAGTTAAGACCCATTAAGATCAGGTTCTAATTATTGCTTTTAATTGCACACTTATGTTTGCTACCTGTGACTAATAATTACAAGGAATACTTAAGTATAATGCGCTTTATTGAGAAATATAGTAATTGTTTGAAAACTATTTTTTTAAATATTTAAATTAAAAATCTGGGCCCCGGTTTAAGTCCCGCCCGCGTAGTATTTTTTTTAGCTAAATATATTTTTAAATTATAGCATATTATTAACTATTCGATTCTTTTTATCGTAGGTCACTTCTTGTTAAAGCAGCAACGGATTTACCAATTTTGAAAAAGTCCATCACCATATCTTCAAGTAGAGATGTCTGTATCTCAAAATACGAATAGCAAAATCTTAGTAATAGGGATTCGTTTTTATTTATTACCCCTCTTTTAAAACATTTAAGCGTCAAAAAGTAACAGACAAAATACACACACACTTTCATTACAAGTAAAAAAAGAAAGGAAAATGGAACAATGTCTAGCTCTTTAATTAAGAGTTAATCAAAACACCCCCTTAACAACTTGTTTTTCTAAACTCACACCTATTCCTAATATCACAAGAATTATATTCACTAAGCTGGATCGATAGCAGTAATTATTCACACATATTCACATCCTAATATGCAAACATATACTATATAAGGCAACAAATTATCATGTTAATGTGCATATTTGTGAGATTATGTACTCTTTGTTAGACTAGAAAGAACATCAGCTGTTTATAATTTTATTCATTTACGATGATTAATACTTGATAAATAGCTATTTGTTGTATAGTGGAGATATAAGCAGAAACATGTGTGTCAATTTTATATACTAAGTAGTCGCAATAAATTCAATTATTATAGCTTATAATGTTTCCTTGAATAAATATAGTTATTTCAATTTACTTTAAATTAATGATGTTAAATCAAGTTTACGACTTATAACTGTAAATCAACTAAGCATACCGTAAATGTGCTGAATTAAATTAAAAAAAACAGGCAATATCACAGTGTAAAACAATACTCACATTGCATTCCTAAATTAATTTCTTTCATATCACCATTAAATTGAACGACTAGAGGCTCTGAAAAATACATAGCAATTAGTTAACTGTTCAGTTATATTTAACAATTTGTTAATCAGATTAATTATATTCATAATTTATGTAATTACAGCATACCTTTTTGGAAAATTGGTAAATCGCTTAACTGACTTTTTTCATGACTAGGATCCTTTTTACTAGAATCTATAAGTAACATATCCTCTCCGAGGTCTTCAACATAGTACCTTCTAGCATTTGGTGAAATCTCATCTTTGAGGGTTGGGTCCATTCTAGGTTCTCTAGCTTCTGGGCCCCGTGAAGGCCGCAAATGGGACACCAAAGGGCTCTGCACAGCCTTATCTTGGCGCAATAACAATCCATCTCTCACATTTTGTATCAAAAACTGGTCCTTTAGCACATCCAGCTGTTTTCTCATAGATATCATCTCGTTCCAATAATAAAAAGCAATGGAACAACTTATTATCATACACATTACACTAAGTAAAAAGTTCAATATGAACAGGAGCTTAATTTTCTTGGAAGACGCTATGGAGAGTGTCGTATTTATATGCACGCCGACGTCTGCCGGCTTTTCTAAAAAATAAACAAAAACCATGAAAGACATACCACAAGCGAATGGAGAAATATTGCAAAAGGAACTGAAAATCACCTGTTTTCAGATGAATGACAGTCCCATCGTTTACTTTTGAATTTTTACCAGTGTTCAAAAATATGTTCGCCGCACCTGCCGAATTCAAGGGCACGCCTTCGCAATTGATCTTTCTTTCCCCGTCCATTATAAATATCTTCTCGTATAGTACTATTGTAGTACTCACATATATTATTGTTTCATACAATCATAAGTGTAGGCGTCGCCGTCCCTAAACAAAGGAAGTGGAGCTTATTAAAAGTTCGCACGGAACGCAGATAACGTACGATAACAAAAAACAACACTACATACCACGAATTTTATGCATTGATCAATTAAACTTTTCACTGGACCAGTCCGACATTCGGAGTTTATTAACTTATCACTGAAACTAGTCCGTCCTTCGCACGAAAACAAATAAAAAAGTAAATAACACGGGTGAAACTTTCGATTCGTCCGTTCCACTGCTCGATGGCATTGGAGCGCGCGGGCGGTTTGACCGCTACTGTCGACGCGCGCCAAATTCAAACTGCGCGCAGTCTGTGGCCAGTGGACGCGAGCACCACGGATGGCGGAACCGAACGAGAATGGGCCGAGCTGCTAAAATCACCATTCACTGAATCTTAAGAACATATCGCAGGAAAGTTTGAAGCACAGTGAAGTACAATTACGGCTACCACTTAAATACTATTGAAAATCTTTCTACTCAGCAAATATTTAAAGCTTGATAAATTAATAACACAACGATTAGTATTATTGTAGATAAGACAAAGGAACTCTTCATAGTGTTCATTGATTTATCTAATTAAGGAAATTAAAAAACAGTTACCTAATGCCAAATCATATGTAAATTAATTAGATAAACACGAAACATGTGTATGTGGTAACTACAGAATGCAGTAAAACATCTCAAAACCATGAAAACTATTAAAGTTTACGACATTATCAGCGTATTACTTTACTTAATTTTGTATTATATTTATAATTCTTGTTTAAAAGAAATTATTCCCTTGTTCGGTGTTCTACACGAACAACTTGATGTTAAGCTCGTTATTACTGTGCTTGGATTACTTTTATTACACGTCAAGTTTTATTGTTTTGTTTTTGTTCTAAGGCGTGGGCACCTAAAGTGGGTATTAATTACCTGCGTTAAAAATTCTCACAACTCTTATCTCAGGTAGCCAGGAAGACACCATTATGTGAAATAGGAAACATATAATGTTTTGTAAATATTATAGGCTAATCCACTTTCAGGGGTTACGGCCCTCTAAAGTTAAAGTGCCTTCATTAAGACATTAATTAAGAAAATAATAAAAGTTCAATTTTATATCATGTTATATTTAACATTTACATAGTTACATAACTAAAAAGCTAATTTGTAAATCTTCTTTCTACCATTATTTCTACTTTAGAAAACTTGTGATAATATTGAGAATATAGTCTGTGATTGCGTGGTATGCACGCCAGCTGCATCCAGAACTTGTCCGGTAAAGCATCGTCTACACGAACCTGTTGGAAGATCGGACGTGAATGAAATACATATATACTTTTACTTTTTGTAATAAGAACCTCCTTTCAACTGTCGATTCTTTTTACAATATATTTTTTTAAATCCACAGATGATATTAAACGTATCTGAATTATAGATTAATCACATATATTACGTAATAGTATTATTATCTAATATTAGTGATAGCACGTGATTAAAGAACGGAATAATATTATTATTACGCCATTTAACTGCACTTCAGATAACACGCGTCTAGCTCTACGTGGTTTTAAATAATATTATGAATAACTAATAGGATTAATAAATATATGTATTATTTTTAGTAGCTTAACGAGAAGGATCAATTTAGACGAATCCTTATTAGTTTAGATAATTATAGACGAAGTATTTGCGATTCCAACGGTAGGGATTCTTAGATCGCCCAGATGCAAGACAGGAATGGAGATTCTGAAATCAAAGTTATGCACTTAGGCCTGTATAAATAGTATAATAATAATTTCGTAAAGTGCAAAATACTTATTATTTGGGTAGTTTTTCAAAAAAAAGCTTGTGGCTTCGATGCTGTCTTTATATGTACTCCTAATGTGATAATCCTGACTTTAATTAATTGGCAAGGATTTCAAAACTCCCTCGGAGTCAAAGAACAAGCAAGTGATTACGTAGAGAAATTAAAAAAAAATCTGTTTTAGGGATGTTCCCAAAATAATCATGGTTCCAATCATGTGACCCATGCGTGTATTTTTTTACGCAAAATGTGCTTAATAGGCGTAATTGCATTATTAAATACTTAGAAATACACGTAAATGTTTCATACTATAAACACTAAAATATTTTGAAGAAATTGGAGCGGCAAGTTTCGTGAATCATTTGAACAGGGTTGTCGAAATAAAATCGCAGGAGTTATTTGTAGTTATCTTTAAGTTGATGAACATTCAAACTATTCCAACTCTTAGTTTAGTTTCTCCCTTACTTGCTGTGTATACTTGTATACACATACTTTTATTTTTTGTTTATTATTCCGTACACCTACCCACTTAATAAGATCCTTTTTTATTTCTTTCTTTCTTCAGGTTGCCTGGAAGAGATCGCTACTTAACGATAAGACCGCTTTTTATTTATTAGTTAGTACGTAGGTTTTTTACCTCTTGTAGTTTATGTAGTATTATAAACAATAAAGATGTAATAAATAAATAAATAACTTATATATTGAAATGAATTATTTGTATTTCTTTTTTTTGTTATTAAAAATAAACTACATGGTCACAGTAAAATGTTGTAGAAATATAGTATATTAGTACAAAATTGTACGATAACTATTAAAGTAGTAGATAATTTACACTAACTTACTTACTGTTCTTTGGTAGATTTAAGTACATATAAGTGTAAGTCACAGCCCTATAGTATCAAAACTGATTCATTGATGCTATGTTTTAAATTGCTCAGTAAGCACTTATTAAATAATGATAAAATGACTATCTCTTTGTCTTCACATCAATGCTATCTATGTGAATTTTGTAATACTTAGTCATAGATGTGTATTGCACTTTAATTGAAACTGGGACTAAATTATTTACCTGGAATAACATAGATAATAATAAAAAAAATAAAAACAACCACAGACTATGAATTTAAATTACAGACGATATTCATAATGGCATTTATAAATGTTCCATATTCAAAAACAAAGAAAAGCACCGCGGGAGCAAACTCGTTTGTTTATTTCGCAAAGAACCGTTTTTATTTAACACATATGTCATAAAAGGGCGTTATTTCGATTCGTTTTCTTGTAACACCGCTAATTACACGCGTTCCGGGATTGTCCGAATTTGTGTGTAATGAGTAAGTCAGTCGATGGCCTGAGATCGGCCTACTTTACCGTTACGGTATCATTGAGGTCAAACGACTAACAAAAAGAAATTCTGTCTACCGAATCTAGTATTCGAAGTTTCATATAACGAACTTGAACTAGTGACTCTATTTTGTTATTAGGGCGTGTCGTGTCTGTGAACATTATCCCTAATGTTTCTAATGTAATACAAAACAAACACTTCCAAACCTTAGAGTTCCAAAAGTTTTACCTTACTAATAAACTAAGTAACTATTTTTATCTTAACTAGGAAAAAAAAATTTGCATAATGTAACTTATGAAATTTTGGGTTAATACTTAGTATATAGTTATAGTATCTGTAACACGTAATTATTACTGATCCACTTTTTGCATATACGACTGCTATTTGTCTACGAAAATAGTAACGATATCGAACACGTTTTCCCGGGATAGAAGCCCCTTATGACCGCTCGCCAAACCGCGAGGCAACTCGTTTTGCCAATGAACATCATATATAGGCTTATATTATAGATATTATATCTTTTCTATTATATGTACAATATGAAAATTACTTTGCCATAATACGTGCTATTTGTTTAAATAAAGAATTTGTACTGAGAAGCCCTGTAGATTTGCGAGAATAGTTGTGCTATATCTATAAATATAAGTTATATTTTTATCCTTAATTTTATCTTTTACGTGATCTGTTAATCCATTAGTCCAAGATAGGTATGTATTCTATTTATTTTTTTTAGCTCACAAACGGATGTATTATTGGTTAGGATTTTAAAAGGTTTATTTCACTTTAGATCTAAATACCGTAAAATATTCTTGTAATTGTTATTCGCACGGGACAAGTACGATTTATAAGACATTTCCACTGAAACGTTGTGCGTGGCTCCACGCAAGTATTTCGAAGAAAGCCATCTCATGACATTCCGGGGCCAACTGATTTGCAGCAAGTGTTACGAAATACAATCGATACATTAATTAGTTTTAAGACTTTAAAATATGATATAAGATTATATTTAATAACTTAAAGTGGATTATGTATAAACAGGTGTTGTGTGAAATAAATGATGTTGGCTTTGAATCTGTTCATTTCATTTCTCCAGTTCAAAAACATATTTAATGAAGCGACACTTAATGAAGGACCCGATCGTGTCGTCTGATTTTTTCAATCTAAATAATTATTTAAATTATGATTAAATAATTTTTTTTTGCGTTGCGACTATTTTTTCCAACCTTTTTGCTCTTAGACAATCCTAACATTCATAGACAAAGTTCAAGTATGTGTTATGAGTCATATAGAAAAAATCGTGTAATAAGTTAATAACACTAAGGTATTGTGGTAAACGTTGGTATCGTCAGGTATGCCACTTGTAATTTGTTGAAAAAGCAAAACACGTAATTTACACAACTAAGTAAATAGGTATATCTATTGAGTGTTTCTAAACTGAATCTAGACCAAAAATGAGCTAAAAAGTCATCCTTACTTATAACCTTATTTATAAATGCGAAAGTAACTCTGTCTGTCTGTTACTCTTTCACGCCAAAACTACTGAACGGATTTGAATGAAATTTGGTACACAGATGGTTTAGACCCTGAGAAAGAACATAGGCGATTTTTATTGCAAAAAGGGGGTGGTAAGGGTTTACACGGGGGGGGGGGGGGGTGAAAGTTTGTATGGAAATTCGTGGTTTTTGAAGCTAGAAAAATGAAACTTTCTTCTTTGGCTTTTTTGGAATACGAGTGGGAGTGGGAGTGATATGATGCGAGAGTGTTGCGGCAAACTAGCACTTACAACAT